ATTTCCTGAGGCCTTTAGTTTATAAGTTTTAGAGAACCTCTTACTTGCAATCGCACTGAGCGTTCTCTCGTAAACTCGATTCTCAAATCCTGGATATTTTATAACATACACCCTTGGTCAAATTGATAAGAAAGGGGTTAAAAGTTTGATTTGGTCTTTGAACAAAGCAGAATGTATATCATTTTGATCTCGCGTATGGGAAGATCTGATTCCCCGATTGGAATAAACCTTGAAGCGTTGGATTCCGTCGTCCAATGCACAGTGGATGCCCGATTTTTTGAGTCTCCATGGGAAATGAAAATCAGTTGGATCCGCTAGCCGATTTGGACCATGGGTCAGAATCTAGGGGGGTCCAAATCCGCTGGGACGCCGGAACATTCCTGCTACATTCTTCACATCTGCTTTAGCGCTAGCAAAATATCAACTCGCTTGATAAATAATTAAACATATAATACAAAGAGAAGTCAATTTTGAGCATAGAAACTTTTCATGACAGTGGAAGTTATGAACAACAAAATGCGGAAGCTGAAGGTTCGCACACGGGTAGTGGGTGGTTGACTCGATGTCCGAACTTTCGGACATTGAGAAAGTAGTAAGCCAGTTGTTAAAAATAAATTCGACGAGGGATTCTCAATTTTAATTTTCCGTGCCATTTCTGGTAACATTTTGTAATTTTTCTTAAACATAGTAACTTACCACAGAATTTCCCATTAATGATTTCAAGTCCCAAGCGATATCCCCATGTTTCACTGATAACAAAAACTAACATGATCAGGAAATAGTTTGTGTCGGTTGTCGGGTCAAAATCATCATTGTCTTCTAAAGAGACGACTGGGGAGAAAAAACGATGTAAATTAAAGGAATTTATTGTCAATCGCAGCTTTTTATAGCGGTTTTTTAGAATGAGCGTTTGATAGCCTCTTCGAGACACTGTTCCAAAAAGTCTATCTAACCAACGCAAGATGTTGGGAGAATACGCGAAATCACGGTTTGTTTCTCTTCTTTCGCATCTCCTGAGGGTTATCACGCCGGTGCGCGAATAGAAAGCGCGGTCTGTTGTCTCAACGAGAGAGAGCGTGATATATCTGTTAAGAAAAATGCAAAATCTGAGTTAATTAATTCTTGCTTTAAACATTTATGTCATCGTTACGATTCAGTGGATTCTTGTAATTTTCATCCCAAGATTTTAAAAGGCGCCAGTTACGCCAGCTACGCCAGTTAGCACTTGTACGAAAGCCAATGATCAGAGTTCCCAAAGAGAGAAGTTTCCAATTGCCAAGAATAACAGTTTTTAGCCGGTGCAGAGTATTGCGATTGTTTTGATCTATCACTTTCTGGTGCCCTTTCAGTCGAGAGGCAAATTTACATTTCGTCTAGCCAGTGTATTTGTAGTTCTAAGAAAAACTATAAAATTTTCAGTGGCAACCCTCGGCCACCACAGTTGTGAGTTTATTGGATGGATAAGCTTTTCAACAGCGTAGCAAAATCGTTTTTTTCTACTTAGACCAATTTGAAATTTTCTTATTAAAAAATAATTAATGACCTCACAGCTTCCCGTCAGAGAACTATAAAATTGATTTATTGCCACTAAAATAGTGATTATACATAGGAATGATAATTACTTTTGCTATTAGCAGATTGAAATAAGTGACTCCTGTTGACTAGTGTGCATTAACGCCAAAGGGTACTTAATATTAATGCTTCAGAGTTTCGAAACTTCTTGTTTTCGGTGATGTATGTGCCCTTGTCAGCAGTTAACTTTGTGTTTAAAATAGATAGTGAGAATGTCTAACTGATATCTGGGAGGTACCGAGTGAAACGTTAGTTGTCGAAGGGCTATAAATTTTACAGTCAACGTCGAAGAGCAAGATGTTTATAATCAACCAACATCAACCCAGGAATCACAAATTGTGCGACATTGGATAACATCGTAGGAGCTGCAAACGCACTTGAGCGGGCTAATTATATACGCTTTCGATCCTTTACTCTTAAAAATAGAAAATGACAAGAATTATAAGGGGACTATGAGAGGAAGGAAGTTATGTAACTTTAAAAACATTCTTCGAAGAGTCCAACACTTGGTTGTGAGAGATATTTGGATGAGTTTATTAGATGGATAAGCTTTTCAATAGGGTAGCAAAATCCTTTTTTCTTCTCAGACCAATTTGCAATTTTTATTATTTTAAAAAAAGATTATGATCTCAAACCTTCCTGTCAGAGAATTATTTGGATAAAATTGATTTATGCCCACTAAAAACAGTGATTATACATACGAATGTTAATTACTTTTGTAATTAGCTGATCGAAACCAGTGACTGCTTTTATGCAATGTGCATTTACGCCTACTCGTAATTAAAATTAATGCTTCAGAGTTTCGAAACTTCTTGTTTTCGGTGATGTATGTGCCTTTGTCAGCAGTTAACTTTGTGTTACAAACAGAAAGTGAGAATGTGGAACCGATAACTGGGAGGTACGGAGTAAAATGTTAGTTGTCGAAGGGCTACTAATTCTTTTACAGTCAACTTTGAAGAGCAAGATGTTTATAGTCAATCATATTTTCAAGTTAATATCAACCCTAGAATCACAAATTGTGCAACATTGGATAACATCGTAGGAGCTACAAACGCAATTGAGCGTGCTAATTATATACGCTTTCGATCCTTTACTATCAAAAATAGAAAATGACAAGAATTACCAGAGGACTATGAGAGGAAGGAAGTTATGTAACTTTAAATGCATTCTTCGAAGAGATCGATACTCGGTTTTGAGAGATATTTGAGTGAGTTTATTGGATGGATAACCTTTTCAACCGCGTTGCAAAATCGTTGTTTGTACTTACACCAATTTGCAATTTTTCTTATTTAAAAAATAATTATGACCTCACAGCTTCTTGTCAGGGAAATATTTCTATGTATAGTAAAATTTACATTCCTTACATTCCATATAGTGAAAATAATGGTTATATTTGCCCAATACTGTAATTATATTCGCTTTTGATCCTTTATTGTTAAAAATAGAAAATGACAAGAATTACAAGAGGATTATAAGAAGAAAGAAGTTGTGCAACTTTAAAAACATTCTTCAAAGAGGTCGGTACTTGGTTGTGGGAGATATTTGGGTGAGTTTATTTGATGGATAAGCTTTTCAACAGCGTAGAAATGTTATTTTTCTTCTTACTTCAGAGAGAACAATTTGCAGTTTTTTTATTTAAAAAAATTATGACCTCACAGCCTCCTGTCAGAGAAATATTAGGATGAAACTGATTTATTCCTACTGAAAACAGTGATTATACATGCGAATGTTAAAAATTTACCGGAGAAACATGCCTCGCAACGTAAGCCTTGTCGCTTTTGAACAACGGATAACGGTTTTGAACAACGGATAACGGTTTTGAATAAGTCTTTATCGGAATATTATAATTTGCTTTCCTAGCAAACTGCTCTGGCCACGGTAACGATGTTCACTAGTGTGATACAAGTCATCTTGGTCTTGTGGGTTGTAACACCATCTGAGAGTGACGTTTGCAGCCAAAACATCTGTCAATGTACCAAGTTCGGCAGGACTCAGCTAATAGTAAAATGTCGAGTTCATGGATACATATCAGCCGGAATCCCAAGCAATACAGTAGAGCTGTAAGTGAAAGAGCTAATAGTTTGTAGACACACCTTAGACTTGCTAAGGAGTCTTGGTCAGAGCTATAAGAAAAAAAAACCAAAAGCAAGATGAGTTCTGAACAAACAAGCAAAAAAGGAAAAACAACCACACGATTTAAAATTAACCATAAGAAAGTCATAAGGCTATGAAGATTCAAAATTTGAAGGCTAGGCGTCAATTTAAACTAAAATTCTTTTAATTTAGATAGGCCCTTATTTAATCCTTCCTGACCTCATCCCCTCTAGAATTCAAATTTATGTTCATTACCATTTTTACTTACAGTTTAATTTTTACCCAGGAATCTTTCAAGTTGTTCGTTGAGCTCAATAACAGAAGACACATTCAGGAATCTGACTGTTTTAGAGAAGTTGTAAGTTGTAAATGAAAGTGAATTTAAAAAAAAATGTGAGTTATTCAGAAATGTAAAAGAATATAGTGTCTGTTAATGAGAAATTGGTATTGGATCGACAAGATTTCTCTAACAGCGAAGCACTTTATCGTTTTATAAGTTAATAGACAAAAAAATGTAAAAACAAGTCCATTTGACAGAAGTAAACTTGTAGATTAATTAGCCAAGCTTATTGTGTCTGTATGTGAAGATAGTTTGACGGCTGATCAGACAATTCGCACAGTCCAGCCAAACCTCATTCAACTAAAGGAAACAGTGGTCAATATACTGCATTTATCTGGGATATTCAAAAGAAAAATTTAACAAGGTTGCAAAAAAGTTTGATAATGGTCTTGAGATTTCCACGGGTCGCCTCACAAACGCGAATTAATCAAAGAGTTAACCATTCACAACATCAAGAACAACAACGAAGGTCGTAAGCTGTCTGAAGATATCGCTGACTAACATGTGTGTAGTTGTAAGAACTTCGTTCCCACGTTGCAGACTTCGTCAATTCTTCATTCTTCCCCACCTCCCAACTCCCCGAACTGGTCTTTCAATCCATTGAAGATACTCTTCTACAGCCAGTGCTGAAGAGTTTTTATTCAGTGTAACGTAGGGTTGGAAAATAAACTAGTAGGAGCTCCGCTTTTAGGCTTGGCTAAATCTATATATTATTTGAGTACTCATTGTTGGTTCAATAGCTAAATTATTATTTATGAGCTGGTAAATTTCGACCGTATTAGCTGATCATTAGGATACTAACATCCTCCTTCTAATGAAAAGTAAAACAGGAAAGGGCAAGTAATCTTATGTAAGGGGAACGTTTGGCTTATGGAAAATTTTATGCTTTATCTTCCGAGAATCAATCAATTTTTTTTCTATGAACTCTTTCTATTTTTCTAGGGACTTATCAAATAATTCCCTGCGACACATTCCTCAAAACACTTTCCGGAATATGGTGAAACTTCAAGTAATGTAAGGAAATTCCCAATAATTTAATTTAAACAGTTTGCAAAATGTGGTAAGAAAAACACGAGTGAAAAAGTATTTCCCATCTTTTTTCCATTGTCATCTTATTGGGCTGATGAAAATCACTATCCTTGTAGAGTTTACAAGTATTTTTATTTATTTCGACATTCGTTAACTTTATTATGATAAGCAACTATTCACCTAAGAGTTAACCTAAGGGTAAACCATCTGATTACAAGATATATATCTGAGTACTCATTGTTGGTTCAATAGTTATATTATTATTTATGTGCTGGTAAATTTCGACCGTATTAGCTGATCATAAAGATACTAACGTCCTCCCTCTAATGATAAGTAAAACAGGAAAGGGCAAGTAATCTTCTGTAAGGGGAAGGTTTTGTATATGGAAAATTTTAAGCTTAATCTTCCGAGAATCAAACAATTTTTTTTTCCATGAACTCTCTATCTCTCTTTCTAGGAACTTATCAAATAATTTCCTTCAGCACATTCCTCAAAACACTTTCTGGAATATGGAGAAACTTCAAATAATGTAAGGAAATTCCCAATGATTTAATCTTGACAGTTTGCAAAACGTGGTTGGAAAAACACGAGTGGAATAGTATTTCCCATCATTTTTTCCATTGTCATCTTGTTAGGTTTATGAAAATCACTATCCTTGTAGAGTTTACAACTATTTTATTTATTTCGACTTTCCTTAGCTATATTATGATAAACAACTATTCACCTAAGAGTTAACGTAAGAGTTAACCATCTGATTTCAAGTTATACCTGAGTACTCATTGTTGATTCAATAATTAAATTATTCTCTATGTGCTGATAAATTTCGACCGTATTAGCTGATCATTAGGATACTAGCATCCTCCCTCTGATGATAAGTAAAACAGGAAAGGGCAAGTAATCTTCTGTAAGGGGAAGGTTTGGCTTATGGAAAATTTTATGCCTAATCTTTCGAGAATCAATTTTTTTTTTCCATGAACTCTTTCTCTTTTTCTAGGGACCTATCGAGTAATTCCCTGGGATACATTGCTCAAAACACTTTCCGGAATATAGAGAAACTTCAAGTAATGTAAGGAAATTCCCAATGATTTAATTTAAACAGTTTGCAAAATGTGGTTAGAAAAAAACGAGTGGAAAAGTATTTCCTATCATTTTTCCATTGTCATCTTATTGGGCTAATGAAAATCACTATCCTTGTAGAGTTTACAAGTATTTTTATTTATTTCGACTTTCGTTAGCTTTATCATGATAAACAACTATTCATCTAAGTGGGGGTGGCTAGTGGTGGATATTTACCGAGCCGTGAAGAGGCGAGGTAAATATCTCTTCTCAAAGCTGTTTGCTACAGAATCAAAGTACTTCCAGGTTTACTATTAAAATATTGCTTTCAGCTTGTATTCTCCACACATTGTGAATAAAATGATGGTGAGCCGTTTACATGAGATAGATATATGGATGTATGAAACATCGTAGTATAAATGAAGCTGCGTGATTGATTTTAGATATTGTATTTCTTTAGGAAAATCAGTGACAACTTACTATCAGTTGCTGATGTGAAGCTCATTCTCGAAGGATTAACACGGCTTCACAAACTATAAGTGTCACCTTTTTAGATGATTTAAAAATCACAAAAAAACTATTTTCGAATGCTTTCAGCAGATGATCGTTGGAGATATTCGCTAAATACTCGTTCATCACAGTTCACATCAATAGTTCATCACAATTTATATGAATTAAAATTTCGCACCTAATATCGGCCTATATGGAATCAAAGATAGTTAAAACTCGTTTAAAACGATTTTCTTTTACAGATACCTCGATGGAAATCCGCTTGGACCCTCTCTGTCGGCAGACATCTTCGCTGGACTTAAAAATTTGACACATCTGTAAGTCCAGTGGCTCCTCAAATCACCGACTAGTAAGAAGTATCATAATGAATGTTTGTCTCATGATTTAGTGACATTCGAAGAAAAACCCTGGTTCATCTGTGCATAGTTAGTTTAATTCAGACGCCGAAGTCGATTGTTACCTCCTAAAGCATTCTACTCTGCTATAATTCGCTGTGGTACACTGTGATGTGGCAATTCTGCTGTTTTGTTTCTTGATCGTTGCCTACTTTTTTTCTGGAATTTCTGCTGAGTGCACTCTTATCTGAATCGCCCCTTATACTGTGTTTTTTTATGTTCATTACCATTTTTACTTACAGTTTAATTTTTACCCAGGAATCTTTCAAGTTGTTCGTTGAGCTCAATAACAGAAGACACATTCAGGAATCTGACTGTTTTAGAGAAGTTGTAAGTTGTAAATGAAAGTGAATTAAAAAAAAAAATGTGAGTTATTCAGAAATGTAAAATCGTTGCCTACTTTTTTTCTGGAATTTCTGCTGAGTGCAGTCTTATCTGAATTGCCCCTTATACTGTGTTTTTTTTTAAATCGGACTCTCGGTCAATGCCTTTTTTTCCTTATCAAATGAGTGGTTTTCGCTGACGAGCAGGTGCTCCGTGGGACGTTGAAAGTTTGTGCGAGTTGAGTGTCGGCGTCAATAACAGCTGTCGAAAAGGAGTATTCGTAGAAACATTGCATCCACATCCAAAATGACCATATCGTTATACTGCTGTATTTATTAACACGATTAATCACTTCATAACTACCCTTTGTTGCCATATAAGTTATGAACAGGAATAATCGTTTTCACTAAAAACTCTGTGCATTTGTTAGGTATTAGCTGCAGCCATCTTTGAGAAAACTAGCTTGGTTGTTAAGTTTAACAAGTTAGGAACAGTTAGGTAGGGCCCGACAAAGAAGCGTATTGAAAAATTATAAAGGAATGTTCTGCTCTGTCTGTCTAATTATGGTTATTCTGATATATCTTTAGAGCGCATTCTTCAATTAGCCAATACCATCCTTTAAGTATTTGAATAGCAGTCTCTATTAGACCTCTCCACCACACTGACTTTTTCATATTACTTTTGTAGTTCCATGCGTGCTTGCAACTTGGAAAATATCGTCAATGGAACTTTTCGGGCAATGCAATACCTACAGTCACTGTAAGTAGTATTTATCAATTTTTCGCCTGGCATGTCTTGGAGAGGGTGTGTCTGAAAATTTCCTTCCCGCATCTAAGAAACGAAAACAAAGCTTTACCGACTGCCATGTTTTTAGATTTTAAAAAATGCACCGACCGTTCATATACATTAGCTATAAATGCGCTAGGAATTCACAATCGCACATGGGCTGATCTTTTAAAGGCAGAAATCCTTTTTGGTCTTAAGGATATTTAATTTATTTGGTAGTAACAAAGATCACTAGGAGAAGAAAATGAAAATGAGGAGGAGGCTTAAAAATATTCACATTGAGGAGTTCATCGTCGATGTTTTAGCAAACTTGCTCAGAATTAGTAATTGCTGTTCTTTGTAATTCAATTTGCAATTTAATTCTGAGTAAGACTGAGCTCAACAAAGGGAAAGATCTGGTGCTAGGTTTTGTTGTGCGAACACTTCACTTGTTAAATCCTTGACCTCGGACCATTACAGACAGGTTTATCTGCGGTGAGATCAACCTGGAATAAGCGGCGTCACATTATTGTTTGAAATTTGTCCGTTTTCAGTGATCTGTCTTCCAATAAGCTGACTCATATACGCCAGGGTACAGTGGATGGAATTAAGGCTAACCTTACATATTTGTAAGTACATTGGCTGTGCATTGCTGTTATTTGCCTACTGCTGGGTAGTGCGAGTTTGAAAGGAATAACATACCTCTGTTATTATGTTGGACCCACCATGATGGGAGTTTTATCGACTTTCATTTTACGTAAATATGTAAAACAACACTAATGCCCCCCCCTCCTCCCCTCCCCCACCCTTCTATGCCTCCCAGAAGATATCTCAATTCTCTTTACATTTGCTTATAGGTACCTTCAAGGAAACGAGCTTGAGACGATAAGCGATGGCACTTTCAACAACTTTAGAAGATTCGAAAAATGGTAAGTGATTTTAAAACGCTTGCATGAAATAAGTAAAATGGCAAAGATTTCGGTGATTGGTGCAAATAAAGAAATATTTTGTAGTATATCATAAAAAAAAAGGTCACTCGTTGCAACACGCCAATTTTATTCCAGATAACACATATGCGATTGTGACTGCTACGACCCTTGATTAACTATGACTTATGGTGGGAAAAAATGAAAAAGAAATTGAAAATGACTGAAAAAGTAAAATTTACGAGACAAAGAGAAAGAAGGAACGTTTGCGAATTGATGAAGTCTTATAACAACTCTTTTACATTTTTTGTTTGGTTTCATCGTATAGCATTTTGGACAACAACAAGCTGACATCTGTACCAGATTTGAAAGGTCCTGAATATATCGTTTTATTGTAAGTAGCTATTATACCATTTTTATTGTGTCACGCGCCGAAACAAATCTTATCTTGTATATTGAGCAAGGTGAACGTGTTAGCGATGCAATTACAATACAATTAACTCGAGATGAACTCGAGATGAACTCGAGATGAACTCGAGATGAACTCGAGATGAACTCGAGATGAACTCGAGATAAACTCGAGATGAACTCGAGATGAACTCGAGATGAACGCGCCTCCACGAGCAAACATGCAACGTTTAAATGACAGACAGCTTCAAAACACATTGAAGAGCACAGAATGTAGAAATCTTCTCTACATAACTGCAACTTGTTATTTAAACTCTGACGAAAAAAGCAAAAAATCACACTCCTAAAATATGCCTTCCTCCCACAAAAATTCAAATTTAACCTTAATCCATGTGTTACGCGTGATCGTTAAGTGATTATCTGTAGCTAAACAGGACACAGGGATGTCGGAACAGCAACAAAGATGATTTACTCCCGAAGAACGTAGTCTCCATAGCTGCAAAACTCTGAAACAACTCGTCACAATAAACGCTGATACACGGCCTCTGCCAAACTTCAAATAATCACAACCGCAGTTAAACTCGATCTCAGTCACAGTTGAGTAAACTCGACCTCCGTCACACTACTCAGCTTGTGAAAAACCAGTCATATCATCTAGTTACACAAGTTGGCTTAGAACTTTCCGTCTAACCTAATTATGGCAGCATTCCAAAGTTTAATTATTTTCAGCATCTTACACGGACTTGAAAAACTGCTGATGCGCAGTGATGCGAGACTGATTAAATATTTAAGAAACTTCTAGGCTAAATTAGCATACTCATGAAACCTCTTAGACAGTCATGCAAGTCAGAAGTAAAACCGCAATCTTCTTAAATCCGGTAACCACGACATCATTTTTAATATCAGTAGATGATTCCTTCAATAAACACGGTAAAGATATGTGTTTTCGAAACAGGAGAAATTCTGGCATATATTAAATATCTATATAATAACACCGAACACTTTACTATTCAATATTTTGAGGTCGAATAATTTATCAGGGTTAGCCAAGAAATATGGTTCATAAATTTAACCACTCAGTTTAGAGCAGGTTGAAATTGTTCCTGATCCCACACGAATGCTGATCATTGCCTGAAAAAAAGGAAACTTTCTCCATCGCCTGCAATAGTCCCTTTTAAATTGTGATAGTAAAAGTAATACATAACGCTTTAAGCGTGCTCGATTTTCTCCATACATGGAAATCGGGCTACTTTTTCCAAAAGTGTGCTTTTCAAAAAGAAACAAAACAAATCTAAATTATACATTTATTTGTAATAAAGCATGAGGTCTCCTATGCTTTGAATTATGAACTTGTTCTGATAAGACATAAATAATTAATGCAGTTAATTCTAGATTAGAAGCGGTGATTTAATGTGTCAAAATGTACGATGTTAGCATCATGTTTCTCTTCGACGCCATTTCCTTTCCCTTGAAGGCAGGAACTGAGGTGGATGCAATCTTCGCTTCCGGTGTTTTCAGTCCTCTAAACGAGTAACGACTAGGTTTTTGGTAAACTTCTTTCCCCAAGACATTGCAAAATTGAAGGTAATCTGAACCATGGACCAAATTGAAAATAATCAATCTTAGAGACAAAACAGTTGATGGCTCTGGTAGTGATCCCTTCATAAAAACTAAAAAGGTCCTACTTTTCCAAAACAAAAAAAGCTAAAATTATGCTCGTTTTTTCCAAATTATGCCCAGAATTGTTTCAGCACAATTCATAAAGGCCTGATCTACGTATACTGGCTCATGTAATTTTCTCTTTCAGTCCTCCAAAGCTTCGTAATTGTAATTTACCTCTAAACTTCTTTTATTTGAATACATTATTAGCTAAATAGGTCATTTCTAAACGTTTTACAAAATATACTAATTTCTTCCGTCTAAGGTTGTACATGCCTGTCACATTTTAAAAATCTTAAAATCTGCCGTTATTTTGTACATCGTGAATGTATCGTTAGTTTCAATATATATATATATATATATTTAGCCAAGCCTAAAAGCGGAGCCCTTGTTAGATTATTTTCCAGCCCTTCATTATACTGAATAAAAACTGTGATAATACTCTTTAGCACAGGCTATAGAAGAGTTTCTTCACGAGGAAAAGAGGGGACGTCGTCTCACAACTTGCAAAGCGATCAACACGCATGCTCGTCAGCGGTATCTTCAAGCAGCTTAGGTCGTTCGTTGTTCTTCCTGATGCTTTGAGCAAATTTTCGAAGATAGAGAATGTTTTCTTCTCCAGATGAAGTGTATGATGTCAGCATCAGTTGAAATTATATTACATTAAGCGTGACTTATTTTTTTGGTCAGGGAAAATGAGCCAAAATTGAAAGAAACGGTGGCAAACTACTTTGTGTTAAGACATCACTAGTCGATTGGAGTGTTTCCGCGTGAGCACAGTGAGTCAGTAAAACAATACCCAGAATCGTATGGGCTTCTCTTATATCTTCTCTTGAAGTTTCCAGGTATGACTGATTGCCCCATCGTTTTTCTTTAACGTTTCAACCTCCTCTGTTTAGCGTGGAAAATTGAAAAGAAAAGCAATATTCAACTCTTGTTTGAACCTGTAATTTTTTTGTAAACTTTTTCGCTTTCGGCTATTCTTGTTTCATGATTGTCCTCTGGCTGGAAATACTTCAATTCGGTAACCTCTGGTGTAACTGCACATAATGTGGATGTCTTCAAGAAAACTTGAGATAATACCTGGATTTCATTTCCACATCACAAAAATCAATTCCAAACGCCAATCAAGTTTTATATTTAGTGTAAAGTTGAGTTGGCTATCTTAAATAGGTTGAAAAGTTTTAGATGGTATTATCTCATGTTGGCTATTAGTAGAATTTACTAGAAGATAGAGTTGTTGCAGCATGTTAACATGAAATGCAACAAACAAATTTTGTTGATATGTAAAAGTTTTCTTCTGACTATCTGCTGGCAAGTCTTTGTATTATATTTCAACCCGACCATTTTCCAAAACTTGTAAACACCATTACAAAATAATTAATCAATTATTGTTATTAATCAATTGTGGCATATACACCATGTTTGAAATGCCATGTCCATAATAAGCTAACAGGATTGAGGTGGCTGTATTTGGGGATAGGCTCTCTTGCCTGTATTATTAATTAGCTACTTGCTACTGTTGGCAATGTTTTGATGAGGTTGGGCTGTCAGGGCAAAGGAAGTGAGGATTTTAGTAGGCAATGACTTTTTTCAAACCTGGAAACTATCATCGTGAAAGCCATACTTGTGCCTGGTAACTCGTTCTTATTTTGATAAACTAGTTTTAAGAAGGATACAATATTTTATTATATAAATTTGATGCACAGGCTGAGCACACAACTTTAACTTGACTTAAATTTTATATAGCCAATACCAATCCCTACACATAATGAAATGTTAGGAAGATCAGAGGAAAAATAATGTGCCATACATCTGCAAGATTTCATGCAACTATTTTAATTACATGAATATTGACTGATACTAGGAGATCTTAGAATTTTTAAAAAAGGAGAAAATTTTGGTTGAAAGATAAGAATTCAGCATAGGCCAGATAAACAAGATTCTTAGAAAAAGAAGTGTGTACTAAAGAAAAAGCTAAGCAAACTCTTTTACAACGCCTGCCTGTACCTTTATGGCACGTAGTAAAGTCATTCGAATAAGTCATAATCCTGGGGTTAAACAAGGGGCCGAGTATACTGCCCTGAGGAACCCCATGTTTCATAAGCGCCATGTTTGAGACGTAACCACCCAAATAGACAAGCTGGTGTCTGTCCACCAAATAAGACTGGAACCATCTCATTGTTTCGCCAGCAACACCATACACTTTCAGCTTATCCAGAAGAAGACCATAATCTACGATCGAAGGCTTTACAATAGTCTACCAGTACCAACTATATTCTTATCCAAACTGTTCATTAATAATCTGTATCAGAGCGGTGTCTGTACGATGGTTCTTTCGAAAACCAGACTGACGAGAATAAATCAGATTGTTTTCAGTTAGATAACTGTATAAAGAGTCATGCACATGTCTCTCGATAACTTTAGAAAGGACAGGTGGCGCAGATATTGGTAAAAAATTCTGAACGTCACGTGAGTCACCATTCTCGTACAAAGGAGAAACTTTAGTTGTTTTGCAACGACTTGGAAATGATCCACTGCAAAGGGAAAAGTTAATTAATCTCGCAACAACAGGTGCTATAACAGATGCTCCTATACGCAACAGCTGAGAACTTATTTTATCAATGCCAGCAGCTTTGCGCGGAGTTAACTTGTAATTATAACATAGTAAGCACCTGCGCACTAATGATGGACGGAAAGACATAAGGTGTATCAGGACTTTTTCTGGATCTGACAAAGTCTTGCAGCTTTCAGGGGTCTGATGGAACTTGCGGTAATGTAGATCTTAACCTGTCTGCTATACTGGAAAAGGAGCCTTAAAATGTTGCGCCACCAGCTTTTTGTCATCTATAACAGCTTCCCCGATATTAATAATGTTAATATCGCGCCTGCTCTATCATTGTAGAAAAATTTTCTTTTTGCGCTCCTAATCATCGCAACTGCTTTATTTCTTATCGCTCTGTAATTATACCAATTATCAGCATTATTGGAACGCCATGCGGTTTTTAGGCAGTTATCTCACAGGTGTAGCTGTTTCAAGACAGAGCTAGTCATCCAAGGAGTTTGGACAGCGCCCTTTACACGCCTTTCACGCCAAAGGCAATTTTCATCGAGTACGTTATTGCAAATCGACTCCCAAGAGTCCAGCATTCCCAAAGAGCCTGCCTCAGTGCTTCTTTGAATCGGTTTCTCGTCGAATTGCTTCATGTCACGATATCTAATATTCTGATTTTCTGCATGCTACAAGATGCACGGTCGTTGTTATATTTGCGTACAGCAAAAATAGGCACGCGATCAGAGAGGCCACAGTCAGAGTTGATATATTCAATATTCGCTGAGGATGATTTGAATAGATGTGATCTAAACAGGTGCCGCTGACAGAACGAGTCACCTCATTAACTAGCTGCGTGAAATTCATACCGTCAACCGCGTTAATTAACCGATGTTTATCAAAGCTCTTCTTATTCCTTCCGTCAATATTCACATCGCCTAAAAATATTGTCTCCTTATCCAACAAGTACACACGTTCCAAATTTGCCTCCAGAGAAAAATCATCAGCTTTGGTGTATGATGGTGGGCGGTAAATACTACCAATCAATAAAGACCGTTTCAATTTAAAAGGACAAACTTCGACCAAATGACTTCAAATTCTTGATTTTCCAGATTAATTCTGCGTATAACATTCGTTTGTGTAAGCCATGACACCGCCGCCAGATTTGTTAACCCTGTCTCTACGGTAGATAGAATAACCAAGCACCTCAAAGAAAGTATCAGGCACGTTCGGCTTCAGAAATGTTTCGTTTAAAAGCAAAACGTCTAACTGAGGTTTACCAAGTTTTTCCAAAAGAAACAGTTTTATCTGGTCAAATTTATCCAAGGTCAGACGATTAACATTCCAATGCCCGATCCGAATGCCCTATGTAGAATTTCGTCGAGAGAGTCGCTGGAGGAAGTCGACTCGTTAAAAGGTCCAATGAGTAAGCAAGCCAGTTCGTCGGATTCAGTCGAAGAACTTGAATCTTTTGGCGAATACAGCAGGTTACCTCTCTCCATCGGCCCCGGATTTGTAGAAACGCCGTTTGATAACAGCAACAAATTGGCCGTGAGGGTGAAGTTCAACAGTCAGACTGTTATAATCGATTTTCTACTGGTCGCTATTACAGACGAATCGGCAGATTTACGCACGGAACGAGAAGACTTGATATAACTGAGTTTTTGCTATAAACTAAATTTACAGTTTACCTCATTTTACTGTCTTCTGTTCAGTTGTATGTTTGCTTTCCTAACAACATTAACCATTGTTGCCAACAAATGCGAAGGGCATATAATATGTGTACAGTTATTAACACTTTAATCCCTGAGAGTGACCAGCATCCAATTTCTCTTTTCAATATCATCCCTGAATCACGCATTAAGGTCATGAAAATAAAGGAAATGATATTCAACTGAAGAACCTCTTGATTCTCAAACAAATTCTCCTTGCCAGCACACCAGGAAATGTATAAAGGACAGTATAGGAATATGCTACGTTGCGCGCGCTGCGAGCTCCGCTACATTTCCATATATCAATCTTTTAGCAATCACTGATACACTTTCTATCTACTGATCTATCGATTGGTTAATTCCACCATTTATCTCTCTGTCTCCCTAGTGACAGTCTGAACTAAAATGATGATAGAAAATAAAACGAGTGAGACAACTGAACATCATACACATAGCCTGTACTGCGTGGGTGTGGCTACTACATGGGTATTTTTATCAATTTATTGAACCAAAATCTATATCAGCACAGGAGAATATATTCTCTTGATCAGCATTAGAAATTTGACCTTCACTTGCTTTGACTCTTATGTTCGTCTCAGAAACTTACAACGCAATCGAATCACAAATTTATCAAGAATTGCCACAACTGGAAAAGGACACGTGTATAAACTGTAAGTATTTGATTCTTAAACTGAATGTTTCATTTTAGGTTAATTGGCAAGAAACCAGATTATTTTCTTCTGTATGCCTTGGGTTATATTCAACTGTGCTCCCGCTCTACTAACGTCTGAAAATGTTGTTTTTAATTTTTAGAATGTTGGACAACAATAAAATCGATCACCTTCCACCGAACATATTTCAGGTTGCTAACGTAACTGGAAGCCTGTGAGTAACAGAAACTACAACTGTAACCGAAGACACGCGTAATTGTTTTCATCATTTATTTAGAAACATCCACACGCCTACGGTACTAAACATGAGCAGGAAAATATATGTTAGAGAACGAAAACTTACCAACAAACTAAAAATAAAGAATAAGATTTACCTTAACGGTGTATAGCTTTACAGGCAAAAAACGAAAACAACGACGCTGCTCCTTTAAAAGTGGACATGATTAAACTTCACAGGACTAAATTTACACACAAAAACTGACAATTACTTAACATAATTACATCACGTTATGCAACGGTACAAACATCAATCACAAGTACACAATACAACAAATGAAACCTACAACAAACAGTATGAAAGTGAGTTTCGCGTTAACAACAGTCATGATGGAGTTGCTATTCTGTGACTGTCTGGTTAGTGTTACAAAAAAAAAATAAGCACCACTTAATGTACAGAAAATATGGGCTTGATCTTTGAGTCATTTTCTTTTATTGAAGATGGTTCTTCTTTTAATTCTTTAACCCCTAACAGTGACCAGTAAATAATTTCTCCCCACTATATCAGCCCATAATCAAACATTAGGGTCATGAGAATAAAGGAAATGATCACTAAATACCTGATTGAGTTCTTAATGGTTACACAAATTCTCCTTTTCTGTAACCTTAAGAAATGTCTAGAGACCAGTTTTCAAAATATAAAGGGTTAAATGCGTCTCCCTTTGGGCCTGAGCGTATATTTTCTTGTAGATAACTTCATTTTTCTCGTCTTTCCATAGTGATTTGTCGTTCAACAAGTTGCAGTCATTACCTGATAAAGTGTTTTCTAAACTCAATCGTTTAAAAATTCTGTAAGTAAAAGGTGAAAACCGATGTAGAAAATAATCACCTCACTTGTTCCAAATGGAACAATATAATCAATAATTAATCAGGTCGAGATCGCCGCCTCTCAAAACGTTTACCTTCTTAACTAACTTTGGGTATGTAACCCAAAACGGAGTGAATTTCATGATTTTCTAAATTTGTGGTATAAACATTGTTACTTGCCCCCGAGAGGTTTGAAACAAATGCAATTCTTTTTGACTTATTAAAAAATAAAAAATTAAAAAAAAAATTAAAAAAAAAACATATGCGCGTATTTTTTACGTGGTTGAATTGTATTCCACCAATCAAATTCCATTTTGTCAAATTAGATTTCGCTCCACCACGTGTCATTTCCTTCTAAACAATCTGCATTTAATCATGTACTCTAACCGCATTGTACAACCCCACTGAAAAAAATTTCACGTGGAACTAAATGTTACTGATAGAGAATTTTTCGTTTTGACTTTTTTTTCCAAATAAAATTGGCTTTAGTATTTCACACACAGAGGGCAAAGTCCAGATAGGTTTCATGAAGGTTTATTTCCAGTGGCTTAGAATATAATCCGCCCCTGTCCAATGTTTGATATCTCAGGAGTATAATATTTCTCTTGTTTTTAGAGTGCTAACCTTCAACAACATCACTAGCATTAATAAATACACATTCAGTGGACTTTCCAATCTGACAACGCTGTAAGTTTTTCCGTATGAATTCTAGAGAAGTGTTCAAATAACTTTTCCATGAACGATAATTTATGACATCATACTCAACGTCATCCAATATTTGCTTAATATAAACAAAAGTAATTGAGATAGAACACACGCTCCTATTGGTTAGTGAGTATGTATGCACGGTTGTGAACTTTTAAGATCACATGCGTTTTATGAAGGTTATAGTGGACTTTTGTACCGATGAAAGATTTTCTTTACAAGAGAAACAGTAGCCGTTGATTAAAAAATAATAATTTGGCTAGTTTACTGGTTTATTCAGTTGTTAATTTATTTTACCTATGTAACTGTTATGAATGGCACGCGTATGACGTCATGTCCTTGATAATTTTTCTCATAGTTAGGAGTTTTCTTTTTAATGTTATTTTTCAGCCTGCTAATCAAAAACAAGCTGACTTTTATTCCCAAAGACGTTGTATCATATGATCGTAGTGTATCATTACAAGTCACACGATAAGATATGAGTTGCTTCGGTTTCTAAGATCTAGATATATCCCGGTTGCCATTAATCAGGAAAAAGGTTATCTTTTCTTCTTTCCTCAATCAAAAATATTTTGATTAAGAATAGAAGATCACCGAAACGTATTTTTTTTCCGCAGGTTTCTTCACAGTAACGCAATTAAAACTATTGAAAGCAAGGCTTTTGACAGACTCAGACTGAAGCAGTTGTGAGTAAATTGACGAATAGAATGATTCCCTTTAGAGCTCTGAAAAGGAGATAATTCTCATGAACTAAACGTTTTCTTTTTTCTTCGGTCAGTTAGATGTTAGAAGAAAAAAACAAACCCATTAAAAGAAAAAACGCACCCGCTATTTCTGATTGATGATATCAAGAGCTTTTACAATGTCTACCAAATCGTTTCTTATGTAACGAGTAGATATTTTATTTTCAGGACTATCTTTGATAATCCTTTAAGCTCATTACCAGATAGAATCTTCGACAAAATGGAAAACTATACCAAAGTGTAAGTCAAGCCGTGTGGCTTAAACAAACGTAGCATTTTACTAGAAACTGAAGTTAGTAGACTCCTATATTATAGACGCTCTAAGATATACTTTGTGTGTTGTTCAGCTAGCTTGGAACTTCGTATTGCTGAATTCCATAAGTTATCATAAGCATTTCCTAACTGTTTTCGAACACGCTTGAGAACACGAGACAAAGTGACGTATATTTACGAAAAGACGACAGCACCCCTAGCGCAGAAACAAACCTATTATTATTATCATCATCATCATCATCATCATCATCATCATCACCATCATTATTATCGTCGTCGTCATCATTGACATCTTCATCATTATCGTTATAGTTGTTGTGTTGTAGCTTTATTGGTAGAGCCTGTATCGAGTCGGTTTTCGTGCCTTCGGCAGTGCTCACTGTCGAGTAATTTTACGGGAGGAAGGGAATTATCAGGTGATGGATTTTCATCTAATCTGAGCGAAGGAGCAAAACCTCAAGTCACTCAAAGCTTTGGAAACCTGAGTTTCCTCTTGCGACGTAGGCCTTTTGACTAATTTCTGCTTCCACCATTATTGTCATGATGATCACGTTGCCTTTTACATCCAATCAGTTAAAATTCAACTCATTAATAATCAAATTGTTTTACAGGTCATTGACGTGTAAAAATCTTCAACAGCTGCCTCGGGGAAAATATGTATCACAAATGTAAATAGGCCTTAAGTTTCATTTTTCTCTTTGTGCACCAAATCAGTTTCACCGTTTTCAATTGATGGACATCTTCACTATCAATTAAGTGGCTTCTTTGACTTAAGAAATTGAATATGTGTCGTTATTAAAAGTCAACCGTGGTATAAAATAAAGCCTTTGTTTGTCCAGTCATGATACGCTGCAAGTCTTGAAAATAGCTCGTGCGCCTCTGCAAGACGACCTCGTTTAGTAAAAAATCACTCCCTGGCCTCTGTTGTACCAAAATTTTTATGAAAATTTAACAATGTTTCTTTCCAAGCGAGTTTTTGATATATCGTTGTCGTCCAATCCTTAGTGAGTGTGCTCCCTCGAAGTCTCTGCACGTCATTTTGGACTGGCATCAAAGTCGCTTCAGATTTGCCTTTGCACGCTCAGGTTTTTTGTGCCGCAACCACATCTATGAAAACCAAAGTTTGCAAATTAAGTATAAAAACTGCAGTCTCTGTCCAGTTGGAACCTACATGTCTGCTGATGGAAATCACTGTTTAAAGTGTCCTGCAGGTAATGAAAATGATAACCTATTTCATCGTTAATGTAAATAATGATATAAATAAGATTTAGATTTAGATAGCGCCATTTCTATAAAGTATCCAACAGCGCTTTTCAATATTGGAAGTTATTTAATAAAATAATGAAGAATAGAATATCAATTATATCAAAGAAAGGTCTATGCCACATGATGAAAACTTTATAATATCTCGACCAAACATTCGTTTCGGGGGTCAACGACTTGCTCTTAAAGTTCCTGTAGGTAGATAAGCGCCATATCGTTCGTAGATTTTAAAGTTAAAAGTAGAGTTTTATAATCTCTCTGCTCGGCTACTGGAAGCAAATGTATCTTTCCCAACTTTCTCATTATCATAACCAAAAGCAATCAACAAATAATAACTTGAAACCCTGCACAAACAATAACATTTATAACAATGTTTCTAATCTGTAATTGTGTTCAACAATTGAATCTCTTCCAATATACCCGCGTAGATGAATCCTTGTTTTATGATATGATATATTCACAGGTGGCTTTTATCAGGATGAGATGGGACAAGTTGAATATAAAAGATGCAGTAATGGTACGTACGTTTCTGAACAGCGAAGTCCTGGAACCAAAGCTACCGACTGCGTGGCATGTCCATATGGTAAGTACAGTGTTCGCTTTGGGCAAACCTTTTTCGATTTAAATACGCTCTGGCTGACATTAAGTTTTAATAAAAGGACTGTCACAGTGATTTCTTTAACACATATCAGCCACAGAACACAGTCAACTATAGTGGACTATCAGAAACCCTATTTAAAGAACAGAGAGATGAGCTAAGATTATTTGCTTAATTGTAGTTGTTGTTTTTGTTGTTAATTATTTATTTTTGGCGAAATCCAAAGACATCTTATTTTAAAGTATATCCATTTACTTCGCTGGTGAAATCTTATTTCTTGGTTTATTCTGAGGAGAGAGGAAGTGAATTCATGAAAATGCCTTTTTGTGAATGCTGTATTATGATTGCTAAGAAAGGAAACATTCCTTCCCAGGTACGATCTCTAACGAGACTGCTGAATATCGCGCATGCAGATGCCTGCACAACTTCTATCGGTTTGATCGTTTCGGCCCTTGCACAGCATGTCCTTCATACGGTTTTGTTTGTGAGAAATATACAGCAATACTTGCTCCTGACTACTTTTGGAAATGGACAGACCAGTCTGAAAAAGAACGTTTCAGGGGTTTTGTAAACAATATTCATTCTTTTGGACCACGCTACAATAAGTCATATTCCACGTTCGATACTTTACTTCCAAAGCCACTCAAATGTCCTCATACAAAGTCCTGCAAGGGTGGAATTGACTCAGAATGCCATCAAGGATATCAAGGGACTTTGTGTGCAGCCTGCTCTAAAGGCTTCTATTTTCGCTTCAACTCTTGTTTGAAATGTCCCCGGTTAGCTGTAACAATAACTTCATCCATCTTGGTAATTGTTCTTTTTGTTGCTGTTTTTCTAATGGTTCTTTGGGGTGACTCCAGGCGTGCAGACAATAACCGGACAGTTGCAGACGTAGTCATGTCGTGCTTTAAGATTGTAATTGGCTTTTACCAAGTCATTGCTGGTATTTTCTCGGCATTGGCGAAAGTCCAGTGGCCAGTCGTTTTGATCTCAACGGAGAGGGTTCTAAAACTGTTTGAAGGGAACATCTTGCAGTTTGCCCCTCTTAGTTGCATCCAGACTTCTTTACGGCTCGATCAGTTTGGAAAGTTCACGATGATTATCGTCATGAATGTCTCACTCGTTGGCTTGATTTTCTTGTATCTGTTTCTTAAAAAGCGCTACATCACGAATAAGAAGGACCTTGACGAAGACCAGAAAGTAATGGAAGTTAAGAGTTTGAAGAAATCTTGCTATCGGAACATTTTCCTATTCTTGTTGTCGACCTACCCCACGACGAGCAAATCCATCATTCAGATTCTTCCTGTTCCGGGCGCCTGTGTAGAGACTTGTTTCACAGACCACAAGAGCGACTGCATCTTCCTGCTGAGAGCTGACTACTCCATCCAGTGTTTCACTCCTCGCCACAGCTTGTATTGGCTCATAGCCTCTATTTTAGCATTATATCCCGTGGGATTTCCACTTCTGGTTTTGTTTCTCACTTACAACTATCGCAACTCCCAGGAAAACAAAGCAGTTTCTTTCGGACTCAGGGTGTTCTTTGAAAACTATAAGAAGAAATTTTGGTTTTGGGAAATCACAGAGATGTATCGCAAGCTGATTCTAATCTCGCTGATTTTTCTTTTCGGATCAAAAAGCCTTTCTCAAATCGGTCTTACAGTTCTGACAGTTAGTATCTTTGGAGTTATTTACACCTTACTCCGACCAATCAAGGACAAGTTTGAAGATCGCTTACAAACATTTGTCCTGTGGATTATATTCTTTGACGTTTGTCTTGGCGCAGTTTACACAGACTGGGATGAGAGTCAAGGAGAAGGCAAGAACGACTCCATCTTTGTAAATGTCCTGTTCGTGGTTCTTAACGCCTCTGTATTGTTGCTTGCCATTGGTAAGTCTCCATGCTGCTGTTTTATTCAATGTGCATTTTAGTCATTTGCTAAGGAAATCAAGGAAAGGTACCGTAGATTGTGGTGGTTTTTTCAATCCCCAAGGTTATTTGTTTTCCACGCAATGAAAGTATTATGATAAAATCATTAAGTAGCCTTCTTCGGGTTATGTAGGATATTTGACTCTCTATAACACTGGCTCATACAATTGTAATCTTAAAACAGATCGCGATATTTGGTCAATTCTTCCCGCAGCTTAACTTTTCCTGTAAGTAGAACCTTGAGACCTTGTTACCCTGACAGCTTTTTAGGATGCAGTTTACAAAATTGTAGCTATGGAAGCTGCCAAGGAGGGAGAATTTGAGTTACGTTCTATATTCATCCCCGGTAGTGTTCCAACATTTGGATGTATTGGTAGAAGACAAAAAACTTTGAGGTAAATTTGGGGTATAATGAATATTGAGATCTTAGAAAAAAATCCAAATCATTGTACTAATGAAATGTCAACACCCATTCTCAAAGCGCTTGTTAGCAAGAGCGAAAACAAAGACATTTGACATTATTATAGACATTATTATATTATATTATATTATTATATTATAAGACATTATTATATTATCTGTTATGACTGCTGTAACCTTCCCTCTCCGCCTGCCTCGTCTAGCTTTTGCTATTTGCGGGTGGAGATGGCAAAATGATTTGCATGAAATAAAGACAAATTTCAGAAAAAAGGGACACCTTACTTTTTTTAACGTTTTCGTGCAAGATTTCAATTTCATGTAAAAGTAATTCAATCCGTCCTTTTTTCTACTTTACAGGAAAGGGAATTCTACATTTGAAGTCAATTTGGAAATTCGTTACCTTCAACCCGATCCGATGTTTCAGCTTCCTTCGCCAAGGAGTATCACATCTAACAAATAGAGTGGTCAAAAGAACAGGAACATCCAATGAACTTTCCCCTTTATTGAAGAAAGAAACTGAAGAACTTCACTGAAATATTTGTCTAAAAACTCTTTTGTTGTGCCTCATGAAATATCTCGCTTTAGATGGCTTAAACACGCAGAGCTTTCGTTGAAATTTATCTGGCTATTGTGAGACTTCTGGATGACATTTCATTGCAACCAAAGGCACTAGCGACTCCCGCAAAGGCTGAGTTCTTCGAAACGTAAAGCGTAATTTTTTTAAGTCTTTAATTTAAATTGAGATTTTTAGATAACAAAATAGTTTATTTTTAGTAAAAAAAAAAAGGATAATACTAATTTTTTGGTGAGTTAAAAAGTAGGATCCCTCGCACCTTCAAGCACATATGACTTTGACGCACGATATATAGATATATATTTAAGCAATAAAACTCACTTTCTATCAGTTTTTCGGCGTAATGGCTACTGAATTATTTGCTCTGTTTGAATGTTTTGTATAAAGTCATTAGAAACCTTTAAGAGTCTTCGTTTGAAGCATATGAAAACCACAATTGGTGTGGCAAGCATAATTTTGACATAGTCAGGGCTGCACCATAGATGTTAAATAGGCAGGGCTTTGCTCTTTTTGTAAAACTGTTTCTGAAGTATTCCACATCACAACACGAGTCTGTCATTTTTTAAAACCGATCTTAAGAGAGGAAGTCAGCATCCATCGAACAGATTTGAAATATTGTGGCAAGTCACCCAAAATTCGTTTTCTCTCCTACTTTCATATTTTGCAGCCCAATATGTTCTAATAATTTTGGTGTGTTTTTTTTTTTTTTTGAAGATCTATTTTAGTTTTCGAGAAATGCCTTTTTTCGTTCGGCCGCTCAAATATGCAAATTTTCACCGTGAATAACTAAGCGTCCCTCCAGACGGCGGAAAGCCAACAGAGTGTTCAGACATTAGTTCAGAAAACTCCGCCTTTGTCTGAATTTTTGGTAGCCTATTGACCAACTCCCAATCGAAACTTCAGTCTGACGTCACGCGTAATTTTGCTCACGGTGGTAAGTAGCCTACTTACCGAAGAACGATTGTACGAATTTTCCAGACATCTTGAGTAATATCTGTGATACACGCTCGCCAATTCCCTTATCAGCTTTTGGGATCGACTCAACCCTACCTTTACCATGGCCGGACATTTCTTGTGGCACCCTACATCTGCTATTGGAACAACGATTCCACCCAACACCGAGATTTGATTTGTGAGTGGGGCAATTTGTAAAATCATCGATGTCTTTTGCGTCTCCACTGAGATGCCGGCGGATATGGACCCCCCAAACCAAACTTTCCTTTTAAGCATCCTTTGTATCATATTTGGTAACTAATTCTATTTGCAAGCTTTTTTGTCGATGTTCTTTTCGATCACAACACAATATTTCCTCAATAAAGGTAAAAAAAAACAAAACAGCCATTTCGTTCAAATTCTACCGCATTCACTGTAGCGAGTCGTACAGTGTACGCAAGAATTAGATGTAAACAAACTACTGCATTCGAACTATTGAAATTGTTACAATAAATCTTTGCTTCTTCTGATGCGAATAAACATTGGTACGAAACGTCATAACAATAGTGGAGACTATTGCGTCCAGTCACAAAAATAACTCAGTCTTATTTTCTAAAATAATAACATTAAGCAGTTTTTGAACAAGAACGAAGAAACTACTCGTATTACGAGTCGTTCGTAAAGCCTATGATAAGTAAAAATGTTTCTATTCTGAACTATTGGAACTCTCAGCTTATTTTCAGATGCAAATCAACATTAACGTAAACGTCTTAGCAAAAGTGGAGACTATTACATCGAAATCAATCTTATTTTCTAATTTTAACGATTATTAACTGTTGAGGGATCCGAAATAATACCTTAACAATTACGAAGACGTCTAGAGTCTGGCAATCTGCAGACAATACAGAGCCACTCTCCCTCTAGGACAGTCTTAAATCCCTCGCAGCTCATGTGTAACCTTTCCTAGCACAACTCGCACTGTACCATGTCGTCCCAACAATCGGGCATTGAACAATGACAAAATAAATTAGTGTCACAAGTTTGTCTCTTATTGAATCTAGCGGTGTTCGACTATCGCGGAAAAGGTTCATAAACGACCTCTCTCCAGACATTAAACTAAATTATTGCCCATTTTCCCTTGGTCAAAAGAAACATCCGACAGGATGCCAGTTCGTATGCATTAACGACACTCACTCACTCAGTTTTGTTGGGGTCCAGTTGGGGGGTCCATATCCGCTAGCGGATTTGGACCGGGGGGTCCATATCCGCTGGCGAATTTGGACCGGGGGGTCCATATCCGCTGGCGGATGCAAAGAGGAAAAAAACGCATCTCTTGGTATTTCAGAGGTTGATTCATCTTTGAATTTCTGTGTCACGCTTGTCACGCAACTGATATAATATGATAGAGAAGATATATAAACTGGAACTCAAACCTGGCTAGAATGTGGTAGAGCATAATTAACGTGATCATCGAAACAACTAATAAAATCATAAATAAACAAGGTTAGAGTGTTATGTTAGATTTTTTTGCAAATTCTAGTGATTTATGCCAGTTAACGGTGGCGACAAGTAGGTGCACCATGGATATTTCATAGTCGCTATCAAGTAAACTTTGCCGGACTTCGAATTCGTCTCAAGATAGAACAACACTAATACACATTGAAATTTTTGCAGTAACTTTATAACCATCCTTTGGTCTTTTAAAAGCTTGAAGCTCAGTAGATTTTGTCATATCGGTCATTGTTAAAACTGTCTTTTTTTTTATGCTACTTTTCGACATAGGAAAAGAATGTCGGACAAAAATATTCACCAAAAAATAAATATCTCTTTGCCAGCTTCAGGGGATTAAGTTTAGATGCTAAAACAAAGGATTATATTCACAGAAATACCGTAGGTCTAGTACATTCGTCACATGAGGTCACACAACTCGGGTAATATTCACGGTGAAAATTTGCATATTTGAGCGGTCGAACGAAAAAAATTATTTCTCGAAAACCAAAATAAATTTTTACAAAAACACTACACCAAAATTATTAGAACATATTGGGCTACGAAATATGACAGTAGGAGTGAAAACAAATTTGGGTGACTTGCCGCTGTTTGTTTGATGCTGGTGCCATTAGCTCTTAAAATATTCAATTTCAGATCAGTATTTGGACAAAGAACATACACATTTTTCGACTTTAACTACTTAAACAAAACTCTTCATTTCGCTTTTTTTTTTGTGCTTCTGGCGTTACAAAATTTGCTGACAGCTGCAAATAGTCTCTAGATCTAGTTCAATCCTTCGCTTTAAAGCAGATCACTCGGCGGCAGAGTTTTAAGTTTACAGATCCAGACTTATTCTTCCTCTCTTTTTAAGGAACTGTGTCTGATGAATCTTTTCTGTCCATTACCTCGTTGACTGATAAACCCAGTGGAGGGTAAATATTTTGCCCCTTTTACAACGAGCTTACGTCGCTAGCAGTAAAGAAATGGGTTTAGGGATGAATTGAGGAGTGTCAGTCTAGGCTAGAGGGTGTAACAGATATGATACAATGCACTATTTTCAATCACCTTGTCAGCTAGGGGGCTAAGGTTGCCACAAGAAAAGAATCACAAAGCACATCAGCGACTTTCGTATTTTCAGCGTTTGCAGCTGTTGCGTGGAACAGCTTTCATTGTTACGCGCGTGAATCTCTACGTTGACTTAATTTGCGCGTGTGAATTTGTCGTTCGTGACGCCTTGTTACCTCTTATGTCTTGAAATATAATGCGATTTTTCTCGCGAGGCTGAATCCAATGTGAACGAAAGTAATTGGAGAAAAAAAAAGGTGATTTATACCTTCAATGCTCTGTATATAACATTAAAGATTAGCCACTGACAGCTCAGACTGTGGCGACGATTGATAAAAGCTAAGTTTTTTCTTTTTTTTTTAATGCAGTTGTGTAGTTGAGGGGAATAGACAGTTGCAAAGATCTAAGGCAATCAGGCTGAGCGTTGTCAGCGACAATCCTGCTCAAATTATCTGTGTATATAGATAACGAGAGAACTGCAGTAGTAAACCAGGTTGATTGTTGCCAGCAATGTAAACCACAAACACTAGTTGAACAACTAAACCGACCAAAATGTCGATAAGAGCCGACGAGAAAATGAATATATTGAAGACAATTCGGAGAGCAGAGAATTTAGGGATAACTACCAGTACGAGGTTATTCCCCAGTATTGCTAAGACTAGCAGCGCTAGCACGGGATTGACAATGCAGATGGCAAGAAGATAATCATGTAGTGTTGGTAAAAGCTTGAAGCTGGACAGCTCTTGAGAGAGAGTTGAATCCAGACAAGGTGTTTTTGTTTCATCGGTGGGGTTTATTTGATTTCGTGATGTATGCCACTATTGGAGCTATTTTGGTATCTACGCTGATATTGAAAACGTCAGCTAGACGTTATGGCGGAGTGGAGCTGTCATATCGTTTAACAATATGTTTTATGCTCACAGAAAGCCTAAAAAAGTTTTACAGTGACAACATTTTTATATCCATGTCTGTTGATGGAAAATATAAATTGGCTGATACAACTACGATAAAGAAAACTCTAAAGTCAGACTTCATTCGAGATTTTGACCGAAGGAAAAGAAAAGATACCTAGAGACATGCACGCACAATGAAATTTCACAACTCTTGTTGTTAACGAATTTATGTCCGGTTCCTTTCGAAGTCAAATTAAAGGTAAATGCAAATGTAGTTCCTGTTAGTTTACCTTTCATAGAATATTCGTTTTTTTATTCATTTTTTTGCAAGTTCATACACACAACGTGTAGATCGCTTCAGGCTTTTTCAGGTTACTCTCAACACACAAAGTAAGCAAACTAAGTTCTGGATGATTTCTATCCTTATTTAAACTCCAACCACTTGTTCTTGAGGGACAGTCGTGCTCCTACTTACAACACAAAAGCAGTGAACAGGATTTTCGTCTAAGCGTTAATGATCGATGAATTTAAAGTTTTCTTTTAATACTGAGCCCTGTAGTGCAACTCGCTTTATTCCTTTTGTTCCAGGTTTTTAAGATTGAAATAACATCATTTAGAGCTTAAAAAAGCACTCAAAAGCACAGAGCCTTCCCCTTTTATTTTATCAGCAACAAACGCCCGTATGCAGCGAATATGGATGATGTTTTGTCACGAAAGGTTCCTTTTTTCTTTGAAATTCGGGACATAGTGAACAATAAAAGTATTATTTACTGAGAAGAAAAAAATAAAGGCAGCTGAGTATTAGATAAACAAAAGCACAGGCAGGAAAGATAAGTAGAATTTTGGTTTTGTGATTTGCTTTTGCGCAAGAAACTTCTCAGTGATAACTGATATTTCAAGAAGTTTTTTCGGTCAATGGCTTGGTATTAAATACGATATGCAACTCACCAGAACAAATTACTAAAACACTCAGATAATTGCTCTCGTATTTCTATCTACATCTCGGTTTAAACTGTCGGACTTTCCAAGGGAGCACCATGTGCAGAGCACCATCTAAGTAACTTCTGCTATAGTTTACCATTTTTTCACGCGAATTGATCCGCTCTCTTGATTGTTACCTGTTTTTGCTGCCTGTTTTAGATTCCACGCTGTTTCATTCATGAGTCGATTCCCTCACCTCAAAAATTTAATCCATGAGTTTACTCAAAATTACTAAGTGGAGTTATCTTTAATGATTGACGTTAGATTTTGAAACCTTGTTTTACAATCTCAGGGGTTGCAAGACGCGTACAACTCTTTTAATGTATTCTCCTGCTTAAGCGAATTACTTTCCCTCATGCTTCTCGTCTTTCTCTTGAGTCTTAACTCTTGTTCGTCTTCTAGCGTACCTTCCCAACAACTTCACCACAGAGAAACATTATGTTGTTTTCATTGAAAAGTTGAACTCTTCCCTTATAGGTTCGATTCTATAATAGATTGAAGAATAGAGTGAAAGCAGAATGTCTAAATTAACGTAGAAGGATAATGAGGGTTTATCAGGAGATTTAATTTGATAATGTAAACTGGCCACCGTAAAGAGTTTTCAAAGCTGATGTTTTAAGCGTTAGTCCTTACTCAGAGAGAGAGGCTGACGCTTGAAATGTCAGCTTAAGAAACTCTTCACAAGGGCTGATTTTCAGTTTTGATTCAGTTTATAGAACCAATGTATCGGGATATCTTTAGGCCTGGTTGGTAGCTAACGAATTTTAAAACCTTAAAAGAGCTGATTTTGGAGCCAATAGAATGAGTGCCTACAAGAGAGTTCGGCTTCAATTTCATTGAAAATGTGTAGGCGCATCATTATGCGTAACAAACCGGAACAAATCTAGGAAGGGAGAAAAGACTACAATAACGTCAGGGCAATCAGATAGGAATCAAAAGCACTGAAACCCGTGAGCTGACAGGGCTGCCTTAATTGATTGATTACCTTGAAAAATGGAGGAATGGACGGAAATTTTTCAGATCTAACCCACACTTTGGTTTCTAGAAGACAAAAATAATAATAATAACAAAAATCAGGCAAGGTCAGTCAAAATGAGAGACACCGCCAAGAGCAATATATAAGATCGATAAATAATCAATGATAATAGATTGCCTGGATACTTTAACGCTATTTATTTTTTATTTTTGTTTGTTTGTTTGTTGTTGTTGTCTGTTTTTTTTTTTCTTTTTGGCATTCGAAGCTACCTGTTCGAGATCGTCAAGAATGCAATTCGGAGAGATAATAGACATTTTTTGATTTTTCAAACACGTCTCGATGTGTCTCAGCTCGCACCTTCTTTGGTTAAAAAATTATTTGGAAAAAGAAGCTATTTAAATTTACTCTAATCTCGACAGATATGCATGACTACGATCACAGAGATATAGGAGAAAAGGAACCTATGTAATATAAACAATTATTAACGCGAAAATGTGAGATTGGTATGATAGACTTTGATTGAATTGATTATTGGGTTTTTCCCAGTTGATGGAAAAAGCTTCCTTGAGTTTGGTCTGGAATTTTTTAAAGGGCAGGATTTATTATTTCGATACAATCCGTTGAGCGGAATACTCGGTAAGCTTTCGAAATGTTTGAAAATGTAAGATGACTTATGTGTGCAAAAAATTTTTTTTAACCCTTTTACCCGTTTTTGTTTCTGTTTTGTTTTTGTTTTTGTTTTTGTTTTGTTTTGTTTTGTTTTGTTTTGTTTTGTTTTGTTTTGTTTTGTTTTGTTTTGTTTTGTTTTGTTTTGTTTTGCTTTGTTTTGTTTTTTTTTGGTTTGTTTTGTTTTTTTTCGTTTCGTTTCGTTTCGTTTCGTTTCGTTTCGTTTTGTTTTGTTTTGTTTTTTTTTTTGCTTTTTTGTTTTTGTTTTTTTTTTAACTCCTTTTGGAAACTTACCACCAGCAGGTAAGCTGCACAGATCTGGGGAAGAAATGCAAACACCGTCGTCCCTGTCCCTGACGATAACTTTGCCGTCTGAGACCAACTCGTATTGCACTATCGCTTCAAGAACATCCACCACTACTAGAAGCAAGTATCAGTAAGAAAGAGACAAGAATAACCTTGTGTAATAAAGGAAGTCATAGAATATGGGCTATATCAGTTGTGCATCCCCTACCCCCTCCCCACCTCTGAAAAGCTTCTCCTCTGATTAACCCCCGTCTGGAAGCCTTGGAATTTCATAAGCCTCTCCTCCTTCCCAGTTTTTACAATATAGTTTTTCATTAAAAAAAAAAAAAGACAATAAATATAATAACACCTCCATGTCCAATTGACATCAACTTACCTGGTGTAAATGTTACACTAAAATTGACAAGAACACCAGTGGGAATGAAAGGCCAATGAGAAATTTTAAACGTTGGAGGCTTATCATACTTTCCTAAAAAAGAATGCAACAATAGACCTGAGTTTCAATGCTATTTTGACGCTCTGGGAATTTAACTTTGTACATAAACATATAATCCTTAATGGTTTCTAGAAAAAGAAAAAAAAACACAGTTTGCAGATCAGTCACTAGTTAGTCAATGGCTGATGTGATTCTTATTTCTCCATACTTTTGGGCCTGGGATGGAAGGTTTTTAGGCAGGATCACACGGGAGGGGACGGGGGATCAGTCGTCGCTAAAGGCATATAAAGGGGGGACTGTAGAGAATTGCTAATGAGAAGAGATGATAAGAATACTACAGAGCCTTAAGGGGGATCAGGTACACACTACCCAACCTCCCAACAAGCAATAAATAATGACTTATCTTTCAGTTCCCATCTTTCTAACGTTAACATTTCCTGGCCCACGAAAAGCTTTGAAACAGTAATGTATAGAACATTACGATGGCCAGGTTCTTTACATTTTGTCGAGAAAAAGTTTTGACTTTTCAAAAAATGGTCTTATCCGCAGCTGGTTTTATTAAAATAGGCGGGGGGCGATGAAAAGGGAAACGGAAATTATTTTGAATCGAGAATAAAAGATTAAGAATGGAGAATGAATTATAAAACCAGGGAATCGGAAATCGGGAATAATGAATACAAACAGAAAAATTGAAATTGGAAAGATCCTTAAAGGCCTTAAAAGTAGTCGATTAATCAAGAGAGGCGAATTTTCCTTGTAACGCTCAGTTTTTCTTTATTCATTTATCACCTCATGAATGGCATGAATTTCACATCTAAAATCTCATCCACGCTTAGCCAAATGTACCTGTCTTCACTTTCAAGGTAGTTGTAAGTAAGAAAAGTAATCATTATTTTTCTCCTATGAAAAATTATCATTTTTTTTTATTTGCCACTCGATTTCTAGTAACATTTTGTAATAATTGCTGAGCAGCTTTTGTAGGCGGAATATCTTTGAAAGAGGATTGAAAATAAATCAAAAGAGAGACACTCACCACAAAATGATGCATTTATAATTTCAATTCCCGAGGGATATCCCGTTGTTTCACTGATGAAAAAAATCAGCAAGCTCAAAGCAATAGTTCGTCGTAGGTGACTGATCGAAATCATCATCGCCTTTCTCAACCAATAGCTGGCAGTAAAACGATTAATTAGTAGTTTAGATTTTAAATATGTATGCGAGTAGAAACTTGAGAATTAAACGTGGACTTTTTGATGACTGTTTGTTTAACATAAATAATGACCGGTCTAATACCCTCTCTGAAACACTGCTCCCAAAGGAGCAAATCAAAGTGCTCTGTGAAGAAACTGAATTGACGCATGATTTTTTGGATTATGGTTAATGTTATCTGGTTTAGGGAATTTTGTGGTTGATTGTCATATCTAGAGTGCGAGCAGTAGTTCAGTGTTCGCTAATGTAGCAGAGAAACAAAGTAACGTTGGGATAAGAAGGCATTACAATTGAAATGATCATACTATTACATTTGACAAGGGTGGATGATGTCATGTGTTTTAAACTTATATCATTTTTGTTTCTGGTTCAAAAGAAAAGGTTGGAAGTAAATGTGGGTGAAAAATGAAATTTACTGTCTATCATTGTAAATATTAGAAAATCAAGGTAATACTGTCTTAATGGAAACATTAACTATTCCCTCTTTATCAAATGAGACAAACGGGAACGAGTTTTTAGTGATATAACTAAGCCAAGACTGCCACCGTCATTTTGGATCTCCGCCTAGGTAGATTTTAGTCACGTGCTAGGCAACGTATAATCAATAACAAGATAGAATTTCATTTCAGGCCTATTTATCAATTTTGTAGTGTATAACTTTCGCATTTTAGTACGTGGTATGTAATTTGAATCTTCAAATTGTCTTGAGACTTAAAAGAAAATTGTTCTTTAAAAATTCACTGAAAATCGGTAGCTAAAATTGTTTGTTTAGGTGTTATTTGATTTTCGTGTTAACTTGTAATTTCGTCAGTCGCCGGCATCTTTTGTCGCTTCACGCAGGAAAAACACACGATACGAAACGTAATGATCGATTTTGTCCTCAATCTCACGTCATAACAGAAAAAGCTTTCGAACATCAGTAAACTCCGAGCGCTTCGCAGTAAGTGATATTTTCAATGAATCTTCGGATTGTTTTTAAGTTCAAGGATTGTAAATTACAATTTTATGAAAAACGAAGGTTGTTCTGTTAATTCAGTGTGAATCCTTGCATGCCTGCCAGTCGCTGGCGCCGCTTGTTGAAACTAAAACGAAGAAAAAAACTCTTTTAAGATTATCATTGGCTTCATTTTAACCCCACCACTATTCTTAGCAACAAAGGTCGCCATTTCGTTTGTTTATTGTACGCCAAAAACTATCTCTATTACTGCTATCTTTTCTTAATTGTAAATGTGATAACACGAAAATTAGACTGCATAGAGAAGCTTAAGTACTGAGATGGAAGCGAGGTATGTCACAAAATTGTAACAAGCAGTATTACAATTTCATTTTCTGACATGATCTGTAACTTACCAAGAGAGATACGCCTCCACACTTGCATACAAATTGTCCCAGACGTTTTAGGAATGGAATTCTTTCTTTAGAAGTTGAAATTTTTCGCTTAAAAGTTCACTTGTGTTTGTTTACTTTGCTTCTAGTCTTCCTTGTCGCTTATCGTGATAAAGAGGTGTGTCGTTCAAGTACCATTTGTCAACTCTCGAAACCAGACTATTTTTAATCATTCCGACAAAAAACCTGACCGGACGCAAAAGCAATGACGGGTGACGAAGGCTTAAACAGGAAATTACATTTTCACCAATTAGTGCTGTGAGCAATGCTGAAATAGAGCTTACGTTTCTTGTCTGTAAAAATTACTCCCCATAACATGTTCAGTGCTGTTAAAAATTTAACTCAAAATGTGTCTAAGTATTCTCGAGTTGAGAGTACTTGAAACCGTACCAAATCATTGACGAATGAAAATAACTAATTGTAAATAAGTTCATGGAAATGCTTTCAACCCAAGGATTTTCCTGGCGAGAAAGTTATTGAGACGCAATAAGAGCATCTATATAACTTGAGTTGCCTTCTGTTTCGAAACCTGACTCATGCTAATATGTCGATGAAATCATCAATAATGAAAGGCAGAGGGCGTAGCCATTGTAATTTGGCCATATACATTACTGTTATTTTTCGACTTGCAAATAAGGGTTATATTTTGAGCCTTCCGGTTCATTGGAAGCTATGAACTTTTGTGATAAGGATTGCAGTTTTTAAGTAATTAACCTCAATGACCCACGACATTGAACATTCTTGTCTGTTCTTGTGTATGGCTGATGCGTGTGCCTTTGTCAGCAGTTCACTCAGATAGTGAAAATATGTTCAACCGATATCTGAAAGGCACGGACTGAAGCATCACCCGTCAAAAACCAAAAAAAATTAACAACTAGAGAGCAAGACATTTACGATCAACCGTTTTAATTTCTTCAAGCCAATATTAGCCCTCAAATCACTAATTCTCTAAATTTAATTCTATTGTATCCATGATCCGCTTTCGATACCTTTGTTGAAAGATAATTAATTCAGGAATTACGAGAGGACAAAAGAATGTTCCTTTGAAAAGGATTATAAGAGGAAGGAAATTGTAAGACTTCACAAATATTCATCGAAGAGGTCAGTAGTTAGCTGTGAGGGATATTTAGGTGAGTCTTAGGTGAGAAGGTCAAGAATTACTCACGGCGCAGCAAATATTTCGAGACCAAATGCTTTTTCAAAGAATTGTAAATTTCCACTTGTGAGTGAAAAACAAACAAATCATTCAGCATGCTTCTATCGTTGTATACTAGAATTCACAGTAAGAAAATTGCGTAGATTTGTGTAAAAAAAATTAGTAATTTTGAAATTGTGCGATTTTAAAATCAAAATCTCTCATTGAACGATGCTGTTTTTTCGTGACGGCACTTTCAAACGCGACAAAACCGTCGTCTAAACCAGCGAGAGCCGATAACGATATATATAGAGTCCCTAGCTTCGCAAGGCCTCAGTTGAAGTCAGTCATAATTCGCATCGCCAATTATGACTAATTTCGTCGCTTGAAAGAGCTACATGCACGGAAAAATAATCTTAAAAGTCTCCAAACCTCGCGGCTAAACTCGATTGCAACCTCCAGGTGAAGCTAGAGAAACTGCATACGTCTTGATGTTATGGATGCACGGCCATGTGGTACATGAGGACTTTTACATTAGTAGCTCCTTAGGGCCTGTTTACATGGAGGCGAGGGACAAATAGTTATGTTAATCTTGGTTTGACGTAGTTTCGGCGTGTACTTCCGTTGCAATGGCAGATAAATAGAGTCACTATCATGTAACAGAAGATTTGGTCACGTTTGAATGTAGAAAGTTTGGCGGTTGTGTGGATCGTAAATATAAGCAAGAAATCGAAAAGATAACGTTCTATTGATTGTCGAACCAGCGCTCCGCAAAAATTTTCTTTAACGCAGTGGGTTTCTGCAACAATCACCAAAGCCTCTGAATTCCTACCTTTCGGGTTTTCTTTCCGTATCTTGGTAGTTCTTCCGCTTCAAGGAAACTTTGAATGTCAATGTCTGTAAGCGATACGGATTTTTCAGTGTTTTAACAGCCATAATCCGAGGAAATTTCGACAAACTACCATGGATTGAGAATGTTAAAAGTTTTGTCGTTCATTCATCAACCTGACCGAGTCGTGCGAAAGGCGAGTGAAGTGTCCGCAGCTGGTTAGCGATATCAAATACGCGTGAAAAGATATAGTATTTTTTCAGACACGTGTTTTATTTCAGCTCTTCTCAGGGCTGGAAATCGTTGTATGTGACTGTAGTCTATATGAGAACATATTTTATTTATTAGTTATTTTGAGATCGAAATATTATCTGTTCATTTCATTTCTATCAGACTGCTAAGGCCACGGTAATGATGTCTATTGGTCTGATACAAGTCATCTTGGTCTTATGTTTTGTAAAACCATGCGCGAGTGACGTTTGCAGCCAAAAAATCTGTCAGTGTACCAACTTTGGTATGACCCGGGTAAAAGTGAAATGTCAAGTTCATGGATACGTTCCGACTGGAATCCCAAGCAATACAGTGGAACTGTAAGTGATAAAGAAAACTCACTCCTCTTTCTCCAAGGCCTGTTATCGTGTGCTTTTTACACCTCTTGATCTCTTCCGCCCATTTCTTTTATTGCAAAGTTTGTTCTCCTTCTCGGCGTTGAATCATGGTCCGTCATCTTCAAGTATTTCGAGTAACACGAATGATGCTATTCTTTAGTATAGTTTAATGCGGATAATACGAGTTGCACGTACTTGCTGCTGTAATTAACCTACTGTCTTTAGAATTCAAATTTCTTGTCATTGTCATACTTATTAATTGTAGACTACGAGCAGTTCATCCTTTTTGGCGAGGTCCGTAGGGCAAGTCAAACCCTGGCCCTTACCGACCTAACCCAAAGAAAAAAATGGCCGTGCTGTGTTCTGAGAGCGTGTTAATGAGCCTCACTCTTAGAGTCCCGCTCGGAATGCAAAACATAATATAATTTCTTTTTGCGCTGTCTTTTCTATACTCGCGCAACGGAGTACACCGAAAGCAAAGACTGCTTGTAGTCTATATTAATAATCAAATCTGTTATCCCAGAGACCTTTCAAGTTGTTCCTTGAGCTCGATTACAGAAGACGTCTTCAGGAACCTGACTGTTTTAAAGAAATTGTAAGTAGTAAATGAAAAAGAAAAAAACTGCGAATTCTCAGAAAATGTCAAAAGCATGTATTTCATATTAGATCAGGAAAGAAGTAAGCAATTTAACCATTATATTGTAATTGTGTCTGTGTGTATCTAAGGGAAGCTTGATGGCAGGGCAGACGTATCGTCCATTGAACTGGAGGAAACAGTGAAACAGTGCTCAATATCAACATTTCTTGTCATGGGCTCCTGATGCCAGACATATATATGTATATATATATGATGTCTGGCATCAGGAGCCCATGACGAGAAATGGGCTCCTGATGGCATATTAAAAGGAAAAATTAATCATGTGGTGAAAAAAGTTTGAAAAAGGTTTTGGGATGTCTTTGATTCAGCTATCTGATTTCAAGTTA